AGAGAACGTACCTGGAGTGGCCCAAGGAGAGGAGCAAGCACGCCCTTTTCTGGGCTAACTTGAGAGCGGCTATTACCATTAACCTGCCTATGGCTCTTGAAGCAAATGAGGCATAGTAGGTGGCAATAACTTTTACTAGTAATAGTCTAGTCTATGAGTAATATTCTAATATTACCAGTGGATGAGTACTTCACTCTGCTTCATTAAATTGTACTAATCAAATTCTTATATTTTTTAAAACATTTGTTGCATATTGCTTGCACTGTAGGAGAATTTAATTGTAATACATACAGCATTTGCTGCTACTTGTTTTAACGGTCAAACTATGAGACATGAGAATGACGTGAGAAGTCTACTTGTCCATCATCAAATTGACAAGGATAAAAGTTCATCATAGACATTGAACTTACTTTTTAGCCTTAGGTCGCATTTATTTTGGTATCTTCCTCTAAATTTTAGACATACTTGCATGTCACTAAAGTATTGAATGTTTAAGTATTATCAGGATTGCAAAGTCTTGCATTTAATTTATGTTGGGTAGGGATGTTGTGCAGATAAGATGGGAGGGATTTACTTCCTTGTGTTTAATTAGGAAATACAAACAAACAAGAAATTGCCTCTTGTGTAAAGCCATTTCTGTAAATTGGTACAATACATGACAAGGGTAAGTACTCCAAAAGCTTCAGATAACAACGGAACTTTTACAAGTCTGTACTCAGATAGAGGGATTTGTTCGAAGTCTCATGAACTCAGAGAAGTTTTCCCGCAATCACAGACAATTTCTGAGCTGAAAGTTGGAGCTATTTTGGCCAGTTTAAGCTCCTTGTTACTCTACTGTACTTAGAATTGCAGCTTTCTAGATATACCTGGTAAGCTGTGATTTCACCTCAAATGTATCTGAACTTGTGAACAAATCTGTACTACTACCGGCTTACTTCCATTAGCATGTCAAGCTGTGTTGGCTTGCTTATTTTTCCTCTTTTGTTTAAAGGTAGTTATATATTTTAATAAAATATATTTTTATTATGGCCTCTGTAAACTTTAATGGGCAAAAGAGATCCCCTCAATGTATGAAGTTATTGTTTCGTTACGAATGTTTCTCTCAGCTGCACCATCGTAAATTTTGTTTTATTGGTTATTGTTTTATCATGAAATATTTTATTGCTTTCTCTTTGTAGCAGCTAATCAGTAGGGTACATTGTATGACATAATGTAGTTTTATAGATGTTTTAGAAATGTATATACTATAAAATTTCAGGAAAGCCCGTATTATTTGCCTAGTTGTAGATCACCCCTTGTGTTCTACAGGTGGCAAGTGCACATGAGGAGACAGGGCTTGCACAACCAGTAAGGAGGGACTGCATCACCAAAACTGCCCCTGTATTAACTCATTTATTCCATATTTAAACTCAAAAGTTTCATGGTTTGGGGTGAATCCCCTTCTAGAGTTTCACTGAACTCTAAAATCTTGTCCTTTTATGCACAGGCACTGATTGTCATCATTCAATCAGGAGAATTTCCATTAGCAAATAATCTCTCTACTAAAGTCAAACTAATTAAACTAATGATATTTGTTGATAGGAAACTTTTATTATTTGCTACACTTGGATTTAATTTTATAATCTAATAAACCTCTCATTTGTTATCTGTTACTAGATTTCCTGGTGTCATTTCGCTGATGATGAGAGTCGGGTAATTATAATCACCACTTAATGGAAAAGCCGAGCACTCTGGGCGTAGCTGTGAGCAGTGCACACAGTGAGTAAGCAAGATGCAGGACGTGCTCCTCAGTCCTGACCCGTGGGGTTGACCAGGCACCCCAAAGCATGTAGGCAGCGGGTGAAGGAGCAGGGGACAGCCAAGTGACTGCTTCATGATTTATAGGAGTGCTGAGAGACTCCTGCTCACCCACCTTGTGGTTTAACTGGATGCCTCAGTGGTCTGGCCAAGCCTGGCTCTGAATGTAGAGTCTTAGGAAGGATGGCTGAATTATTATTACAGCACTATTATGCTGTAATTTAAGATAAATCAGCTACAAGCTTCTGTAGTGACACATACTGAAGGCCCCCCTCTTTCCAAGGCCACAACCAAGTTCTTCTACGATAGCTTAAAAAGCGCTGCTCAACTCCAAGTTCTTCAGAGCCGGCAGGTGGAGGAGTCATGTTCGAGAGGCGGTTGCTTACGAGCAGGGCTGGCGCTGGGAGAGGCAGAGGAGCTTAGGGCTCAGCGGAGCTGGTCAGGAAGGCCTGGGGGATGGTGCTTCACAGCCACCCTGCCCGGTGCCATGGCAGCCTGCCCGGCTCCCCTTCCCCTCTGCTGCTCAGTGCGCTTTCCACAGCAGCAGGGATGATAAATCTGGAATTCGCAGCTGGAACCGCTCCATTTCCATCTTAACAGCTTTTCTCCCAAAGGCACCATGTTGCTCTGCTTAAAGAATCTTAGAATCATAGAATCATAGAATCATAGAATGCCGAAGGTTGGAAGGGACCTCAGAGGTCATCGAGTCCAACCCCCCTGCTCACGCAAGGTCACCTAGAGCACGTGGCACAGGGCTGCATCCAAGCGGTTTTTAAAGATCTCCAAAGAAGGAGACTCTTAACTTCCTCTATAATATTACTCTCCTACCTGCTCTTAAGCAGGGCTAAGCTTTGTGACTACTTCAGCAGTGGTCGCAGTTCCATGCAAGGCTGAAAAGCCTTATGTGCTGTACAGCTGCTGGGCACGTCAGGGATTCATCAGAAATAGAGGCCAGAGACTTAGGCTGGTTAGAAATTTGTGGCCTTTACCTTCACAGGACTCCTCTGAAAAGCGGAGAACACTGCCAAAATAGCTATTCTTCTATTTCCTAAAAGACTTTTGTGTCTCCTCACCCTGATTTAAAGAGCCTAAGCATGAGGAGCATTAACAGTTACTGGAAATGTAATGAGCATTTTCCGTGTCCTGTTTAATAGTTATAAAGACTGGAAGTAAAACTTCTCCTGTTAGGCTTTCCAATCTCTGTATATGAAATACAGTCTGCAAACCATTCTTTATGTGTTAAATAATGTATGGTAGTAATGTAATCATGTAAGCAATGCATAGACCTTTGAAGATGTCTTCATATTTAAGACTGTTCTGAAACTTAAGCTGTAGGTAGATACAAAAGAAATAATTTCATACTGCTAGGTATATGACTTCAGAAATATCAACACCCTTTGGATATCCCATTATATTCCTCACGTCAAAACTTCCCCACCCACTTGCCAGGGGTTTAAGTCATTCACACCTGGTAGTGTGTCTGACATGTTCATTTCTAAATGTTGTCTTACATCACACTCTTGTGAGCGTCTGTTTGGTCTACCATTGCACAGAATGAGGCTGACACCCAGTGGCCATTTTGCTCATTGCTGAGCACCTCCTGGGAGGCCTGCAGTTTCTCACTGCTTCGTTTTAGAAAGATCCTTATTTTTGAGAGCAATATCAGGATATACAAGGCAGTCATTTCTCACTTTTTGTTTGCTCTTTGCCATATTTTACTCTTAAGTGTCATTTCTGCTGCACCTGCCTTCACTTCCGTATATGTAGAACGGGTGCTCACCATGTCACCTTGCTGGGCCTCAGGCAGAGATACACCAATATCCTGATGGAATTACCTCAGCAAGGTAACTGCTAAAAGATGGATAGTAAATTGTTCTTTATTCTTTACAAAAGAAGTATGACAACAATATATATATTGCTTTTGCAAATGCACAATTTAAGTTTCTGAATGTTATGCAAAACATTCTTGCCAAGAGAACTATCTAAAATCCTATGTATCTATTTTGGAGATGCAGTATGGACATTATTGACCTTGTAATAAACGTACTTTCTCCCTACGTGGGTACACAGAGTTTATCCAGAACAGACCGTGAGCCAAAAAACATGAAAGGTGTTGAGGTTCTCAAATCATGATGACCCCACACTTCTTGGTGATAAGATGCCCAAGGATTAGCTGATCTTATTAACCCAAGGTTTATTTTGGCATTATCTGATTGGAGCTGCCTGCCCCAGGTATCATATTTTCTACAGTTTATTGGGGTTTATAAGCATTCCCCTCCGACGAAACATCTCAGTTTTTATTTCAGTCTTGATTCTCAGTCTTTCTTTACTATCTGTTCTCTAAACTGCAGAATGTTTTAAAATAGAGAGATATCATAATACTGAAAGAAGAGAGGTGAGAAAGTTAAGGCATACGGTAACAAAGAATGGCAAATATGCACAATCATCCAAGAAATTACTTCATTAAAAAAAAAAAAAAAAAAAAAAGATGGAAACCTGGAAAATTTCAGAGAGAACGGAAGAGTTGTCGCAAAGATCTGTTAGCTGGAAGCTGCATTTCTGCTGAGCCAGAGTTGGACTGCGATTTGACCAGCATCCACAGCCCTGCGGCTGGGCTGGGTTCCTGCTGCAAAGCCCGAGGCTGCATGCGGGGGCACCTCAAGACCTCCTGGAGCTTTACAAGGGTGAGTCAAAGCTTCTAGCTGGCGTTCGGCATCTGCTGTCGTTTGTGAAAAGGCAGGGAGTGCACTCAGCTGCCTGCCAAAAATGATCTCAGTGCTCTCTGCCGGGTTCCTTGGAAAGAGAGACGGCATTTTGATCTACTTGCTGTCTCTTGTCTTGTCCCCCTCGCCCCCAGCACAAACATCTGGCCATCGGGCAGCCCAGCAGGGTCTGCTCTGAGTCGTTAGGCATGACAGTGGCAAAGAAGTGATCTTTCCCTTTCCTCTCTCTTTTTTCTTTTATTTATTTATTTAGGATAAATGTACTGAACTGGTAAGGCATGCTGACGTGTGCCTTACCTTTAATAAATGAGTCTTTGAGGCACATGAGACTTCGAATGCCAGAAGCAGAATACATATATAGATATGTATATACTCGATTTTTCATATTTGAGTATCTCCTAATGCTGTATGCTTTGGGATGGTTTACATTTAGTGCCTGTGATTTTGCCAGCTGAATGGCAAAAACGCAACAAAATCTGAAACATCCCTCAGCAGAACCATCAGAAAGTTGTCAGTGGGGACAAAGCCTACGCAGAGGAAATGCTTCTTCAGCTCACTCCAGAGTCACTGCACTTGCTCGTCTGCACAACTGCACCTTCTTTCTTTACACTGCTAAGGCCAAAGACGTCAGGATTGCAACAGAACCTCTATCTCCAGCCAGTAAAACAAATTACACATGTTCTCTGTGGGAAATATCATACACAACTGCCCTCTAATTTTGTCACAGCTCCTGTTTCAGCAACGCCAAGAAAATGTCTCATGGTTGACGTGGAAGATGTCGGAGATCTGAAGCGTGGCTGGGAAGGAGGTACCTTCTTTCTTAAATCTTGTTCAAGCTTATTAGCATCTTATTCCAATTTGTTGAGATGGACATAAACCCAAACACTCTATTACCTGGGACAGTATGACCGTGGTGTGTAAAGCAAAACACATCTGTCAGTCAGGACGAGTCAAGGCTTCACTAGCTTTTCTGACCACAGTTCTGTTCTGCAGAACACCATGACACGACCACAGGTAATATTCTGGTGGTTTTATTAACAAGTATAATACATATGTATTGTATCCTAAATATAGAATGAGGACTGTACAGTACAAATTTCTGTTCACAGTTTGACATGACAAAATGTCATTACTGAATTCCCATTGGACTACCAAAGTAGAAACAGTGAAAGTACATTAAACATTCACATCTTTAGTAAGAAAGATTACCAAAATGTCTCTGTAATTGCAAGTTATAGTAATGCACGCTAGAAACCTTTAATTACCCATTCAGTCTTATTAGCTTATAAAATATATTACATTTTATTAAAAAATTTCTGCATAGTTTATACAAGTATTAAAGTAAATATAACATTCCTGCTATACTTGCAGGTGAGAGATGCTAAGCCGAAAGATTATTTTGACCCTCTAACATTTAAAGTACATAAATAGCAGAAAAGTGCTAATATCTGTAAAATATAATGAAAACTGGTGTAGCCCTCAAGATATGTAAAATGCTTTGTAATTTTTATAGAAAGGATTTGCAATCATCTACATGTTGCTTACCTTTATAGAGACAAAAACCCAGGCAACATATTTAGACAATCTGTGGCATTAGAAATATTACTGTGGAAATGCAGTGTATATTTCAATAAAACCACACATGGTGATACCTGCTCAGCTTCACTGGATTGTCTTAGAAAGTGAGAAGTCATCATAATTGAATGGTTTAAACAGGCACATTTTAATTAAACACAATCTGTTAGACACTGCACAGTGCAAAACTGCTAGTGAAAAAGGCTTTTTTCCTTTTTTTAAATATACACCTTCTGTAGGATTAGTTTTGTGGATTTTTTAGGTCTAAACTGGCTTCTCTTAAGGTCAAGGAGGGAAAGACTGGCTCTTTTTCTTAGATATTTCTTTAGGTTTATACATTTAAAAATTTCAAGATGCCCCTCACACTGTAGTTTGCTCAAATGAGTTGATGACTCGCTTAAGATGTTGAATTCACATTTTCAGCTGAAAGATGAAAACAGACTTTTCATGGTTTCTGACATCTCATTAAAACACACCATAGACACAAGCAAATAAATCCTACAAACAAGGCATTTATATTGAATAATCTCAAATTTGATACTTAGCATTTAGATTCATGCTGTCCTAAATCACAAGGCACATAACTAAAGATATTTTAAAAATCTTTTGCACCTCCACTACATTTACCCCTACAAGCGTCACAAATACTTTCATCAAAAAAGTACACGGGCTAATACGGGAAGATGGCAAGTGTCCTAGATTTAATTCTCCAGAGTACCTCTTAGTTACAAAGAGTTACCAAGACTTGCCATTACAGTACTTGATCCTAGATTTCTAGTTAAAAGAAAAAAAGATGAAAAAGACAATACTAACTGAAAACGTTATGAAAGTCCTAAGAGAAAGAACATTTGAAGCAAATGCTGCTTAAACACCCCAAATTTTATGTGTTTAGATCTGTTAAGATCAAAAATGGGTTCAGTTGTCTGTAATGTGCTCATCTGTGTAGCTCTCCTCTGCCTTTTCACCTAGAATAAAACTGAAGACTGTTTTCATCCTTGGGTACCAGTCATCCCTAGTGATGCTATAAAAGCTATAAAAGCTCCACACAGCCGTGTCAGTCCATGGCAGGTCTACATGTATAGAACTATTAAGGCTGCAGGACTATCTGAAGCCTTAATAAAGAAGTCCAGTTTGGTTGGCATGACATTGCTAGCATTTAAAATAGAAAATACAGAATATCAAAAAATCACAAAACAAGAAAACCCTCATTCTCAGGCATTTGCTCATTTATTTAATAATCTTTCCTGGAAGTTTATTGCTGTTAGTACCAAACCAACCAATCCAAAAAAAAAAAAAAAAAAAAAAGACCACTGGATTTTCCATTTTTTTTTCATTTCCATAAACCAACAGGGTAGGGTCAGTTACAAGAACATAGATGTGGGGCAACTTCACTTGATTCTGGTGAAGTCACTAGGGTTTCTGGAGATGCACCAGTGCACAGGGGCCTTCCTCACAAAAGCCTCACAGAAGATTCCAAGCACGGCTTTGCGAGTTCCCATTTGCCTCTTACAGAGCATAAATGAAGGGCCAAGCTATTCCTTACATCACATCACCAGTTTCCTATTTCCATAAATAAGCATTTGTCACAGAATTTGGGCAATACTTTGTACTTTCTGACAGCCTTGGATGGGCATGTTTCTCCAAGGAGCACAGGTCCTGCCTTTCTCTACTTCCACAGGCCAGTGGATGCCAACGGAATGGCCGGCAAACAACACGAGCAAGGCGGCAGGAGTGGAAAGGCTCTTCCCGCTCCCACTCCTGCACCTGCAAGGTTATTTCAGCCCAATGTAGGACTTGGCAGCCGAGCAACCTCTTCCATATCCACCTGCAAGCTCAGCCTGCTGCCTCCCCTTGCAGAGTTTGGGACGAGCTGCTCCACCCACCTCCCCTGCTTTTCCAGTATTTTTTCTTCTTTTTCCCCAAGAAAGAGAAAATTGACTATGGCATGTTTTGATCTGCAGGGAATGATGTTTACCTGATGCAGGGAGAAGAAAACCTCAGTGGTGTGCAAGAGCCTAGCCAAATACATCCCGTTCTCTTGTGCTGCCACCACATCTGCCCGCTAATGAAGACAAACCTTCTTCCTGCAGGCTCTAAAGGCCAGAACATTTCCAGGGCCAACTGCATGTTGTTTGAATTCAGTTTATTTTTTATCTACTGCGTTGTGCTTGTTAATTGATATGGGATTTATGACTTGCTGATGTGACATTTTAATGCATGACACATCCACAGGAAGGCTCAGTCCATCATTGAGACTCTGAAGAGGTCACAAACCAAGAGGCATCAAATGGATGGTTTGGTACAAGTTTTTTTTTTTTTTTTTTTTTTTGCTTTTTTTAACCCAAAACAGATACATGACTTAGTTTCTCGTTAGAAGAAACTAAGATGCCATCTTATCATAAAAATATTGTGAATTAGTAACTTTAAATACTGTAGTGTATTAAAGTGGCGCTCACTTGCACCAATACACTTGGGAGCATTTTTGATATGACAATTGCTATTTTTGAGGTACAGCAAAGAGAAAAAAAAACACTTAGAGGAAATGTAGGGAAGTGATTATAGAGGGATAGTCTATATTCCTGAAATAAGCTGTGGCAGGTTTCTATGAATATAATTTAATGCCATGTTATAGGAGAGTACCGTGTGTGTTCCATCCATACAGTCACACAACAGACAGACATAGAGTGTCACACGAGGTCTTCATTTAACAGATCCACCAGGGTGCTATGCAGTAAAAAATAGGTTAAATACTATACTATAATACAGAGGACAGATGGGATTGGTTTAACCATACAACTCTACGTATAGCCCAATTTCTGATGATTTTTCTTCTTGACTGGGGTAAGTGATATCAGGATTCAATTATTCTTTCTGCAAAATAATTATGCCGATTAGTTTTACCTAGCATTTCCAAATCAGCTGTCTTTCTAGAACTATATTAACCGTACTGCAGAAACCAATGAGGTTGGGAGCATCCATTCATTGCATTGTTGAGCATAAAATGAGAGTGCATCCTCTACAGGGTTCATAAATAAAGTCTCTGGCAAGGACTAGCATTCTGGATATTCAATAATATTTTCTACTTTTATCAGTATATGATGGGTTGATTATATGAAGAAACCAAAAGAAGTTGTTAGTTTACAACTTCCCTTATTTGCGAATGAATACATTAAACATACTGTCTGCTGAAAGGGTTTGCTTAGCATCCCCAGGAAAAAATAAAAAAGTGTTCACATTCTTTAGGTCTGACCCGTGGCAAGGAAATAGAAGGGTTAGATAACACCTCTTACTGACCATATGTAAGCTTTTAATGGTATAAACTCAGAGATTCAGACCAGCTGAATCCAACTTAAAATGCACATGTAAAAAAAAAAAAAAAACGTGACGGGAGGCAAGGGCAGAAGAGACTCAGACAAGCATGTGGCGTTTTCTGTGAAGAGCAAGGTGGTCCGAGCGTGAAAAGCTACGGTCACAGTCTGGGCACTGAAAGGGTTTGATGCCGGTGTGCTTGCGGAAATGCCGTGTCAGTTCATCGGATCGCGCAAACTTCCACGTGCATCCCTCCCAAGTGCATTTGTATGGTTTTTCACCTAGAAAAAGAAACACAGAATTGGGGATTTAAGACAGGAACATATCCATAACTGAAAAAATTTATCCTATTTTTTTCTCAAATTTTAGTTAGTTCTTCCACGCTTACCCAAAAAGCCTTCAACCAGCACGGTGCTGTGGAGTACTCTGCAGTGTGCAGTCAAAATTGACAGATCAAAAAATTGTTTCCTGCCACAACTTCATCTTGTTATTGTCTCTCTGTTCCTCCCTATGCCATATTAGCACTTGTTTTGTCTCATCAAGCCCAGCAGTGCAAAGGTTTGAACATCTGAAGAAGTATTTTCAAAAACAGAACCTCATATTGCAAATTACTTGGGGAAAAAGGGCTGTTTCTACCATTCAACACAGCAAGCTGACAACCAGCTCTGACCTCTTAAAGCCACCCTGGTAAATATAAATGGTACCACTGTCACCATTAGTTCAACTTAAAATTTCTCTCAATAACTATTTCGTAACATGTGCTCCTCTTTCTCATTTATACCAGTCAGGTAAAGGTCTGGCTTGTGTACTGCTGTGAGAGTGTTAGGAACTGAACTCAATTTTACCTAGAGGTGTCTCGTGTCTTTGTAAAAATCTAGGATATACAGGCATATATGTGTGTGTGGATTCATAAATACACAGGCACACGCACATTCTGCATGTCACGATGAACATATCTACAGATACAGATGGGGAGATTCTTCTTGTAGAGCTCACTGAGAAAAGAGTACTAAGAAAAGCACTAAGAAAAGAGTCCTATCGGACCAATTGTTGGCGTGTCCACAAGGCCCAACCTATTTATATTTGGCACACGCTCCAGACTTGTGTAAACGGGCTACTCCCATGGAAGTCTCACTCAAATTTAGCAGTGATTTAAGTAGAGAGGTACTGCAATTTGGTGTTTTCAGGGTGTACAGAGTGAGTAATCTGTAAGGAACTGGAAAGAAAAAGACCAAAGAGCCAGCAAATGCAGAGCACACCAGCATTCACCATGACCCTGCTTTGGCTTAGAATCTGTGGTGGGCTCTTCCTGCTGCATCTTCTTTCTTTCTCCTGGCCTACAATTTTACCCAGAACACTACCACATGTAAAATATGTCTTTTTATTATTTACTCCTCCGGCAACTTGTGACCGGCGTCAACTAAAAGCTTAAGTCTTCTCCTTTGGTCATACATGCTGAAAGACAAGCAGAGCAGTGCTCGAACCTGTGTGCGTTCTTCTGTGGGCTTTCAGGTGGGAGCTCTTAGTGTAGACCTTGTTGCAGCCTTCGTAGTCACACCGGTGTATCCTGCGTTTCCTTTGCGTGTCTGGAGATTCCACGGGTAAAGGTCTCTTTCCTGGCTGAACTATAACCGAAGGGTGATTCCTGTGAAGTCAGATTGAATGTTAAAAATGAAAAACATTTTGCACAGCAAACCTCAGCTAAGATGACTCATGACAGAGCCCTTTATTCACCACCACTGTCTCTTGGCAGAAAGAATAACATTACACGCACGTCGAAAAATTCAAGAGGGCTTAGCAAATTTCATGGACCGTAGCAGTCATGTTTTTAAATGTTTACTCACTTCGTGGCACGATATAGCTAAGTTTTACTGATTGCGAGCTTGGTCATCACTTTTTTTAAGTTAATAGGGGGAGAAAAGAGAAAAAAAAAAAACGTAATTCTTGTTTCTCAGGCAAACCCAGTTTCCCAAAGGAGCGGGTCTGTAACTGGAAGCAGCCTTCCCGTGGAGGGCCAGGAAGCGCCTGCGGCGGCCGCGCTGGACAGCCGCTGCTCCAGGGGCTCCCCCCGAGCAGCCCAAGCGAGCGCTTGGCTTCCTGTGTGGGGCTGCGCAGGGCGCGGCCGTGAGGCGCAGGGTGCGGCCGGCACCCAGCCCTCCCACAGGATGTCTGCGCCGCTCCCGCCTCCCACAAACACCCGTCCCGCCCTCCTGCCGCTGGCCCCGCAGGTGCCACGACACCTACGTGACCGGCCACAGGCCACAGGCGGCTCTGTGTTCCCTGCTCCACAGGGCGCAGCAGCAGCAGCCGCCGCGGCCGCACGCGTCGGGACGCGGGCGGTGCTGGAGGAGCTGTCGGCAACGCGGCCGTTGAGCCTCAAGCAGCGCCCCGGCTTCCGAACGGGGCACGACCTCCACGCTTTCCTCACTGTCAGTGTTGGGAAAAGGAAGCAAACAGGTTTTTGAAAGCCTAAGAGGCAGGGCAGATCGGGCAGCTTCACCAATGAATACCTTTCAACTGACTGGCAGATTCTTATTGGCACTTTTTGATGCCTTTTAACTGAAATATAGTATATGCAGATATCAGCAATCCCTATGGAAAAGCAGCTCTTCCTTCTGACAGAAATTCTCTAGAACTCTATTCTTTCCTCGGTTGTGCTACTTCACATTTCTTACTGATCCAATTAAACTCAGTGACAGTTTTAACTGGGGCAAGGTCATTTACGACCTAATTTTCAGCAGTGTTCAATGCCTACTCCTCTCAGCAAAACCAAGGGCGTGTGCTCAAGGTCTCTTGGTTTAAAAGAAACAGGCTTATCAGGCACAACAAAGAACATCACATGTACGATTTAACCAGAAAAATGCCCTCAAATACACTTCACAGCAGCACTGGGGAACTTACTGCTGTTGGAAAAGTTTCTTTCTGCTACTCGGTTATTCATTCTCTTATCAGTTACAAGTCTCAAAATCTTTCTTGGACTTTTCTCTGACCGTTGAATGATGGTAGCTATGTACTCTTCAAGCACATATTAAATATAGCTAAAAATACTGTAATGGCAGGAAACCAAAGACGGTGACATATGTGTACATAATCTGAAATAAGCAAGGCAGTCTTAGCTCCTAAGAAATGCCTCTCTCAGGCAGTGCTGATCTGTAAAGTTGCTGCATATGGCTCTGTCTCAGAGTCAGCCTACGTTTTGGTCTCTACATACAGAAGCTCATCCTGAAGACAGGAACTTCTGGAAAAATGGAGAAAAGGGATATTAGCACTACTCTGCCTGTGATGGTTTTTGGTCTAAGGGCATGTCAATAAGGTACTCAGAATTCATCTCCCTCTCATCTTCCTTTTAGAGGAAAGGTGGTTGGTAAGACTACAGAATCTTACCAATAATCAGATAGGAGGTGACAATTAAGAAAAAAAAAAAAAAAAAAAAGAATAAAGGATAAGCCTGTGCCAAAAATCAAAATATATGACCCAAAAAGGGAAGTATATCCCTAACTCTTTACAGTTCCATTACTCCTTACACAACTCAACACTCAAGTTGTGTACTCTTTATACAACTTACCCAGTGTAAACTAGGTAAACCATCATTTTGAAAAGAAGGAATCCTATCTTCCAAAAAACTATGTTACAATTTACATAAGCAACCTCCTCGCTTCCTTTACCAATACACCATACTATGTTGGTGTAAGTTGGTGTAAGTGTGACTTAGACTTACACTCACAAGAAAACATAATATTAAAGACACTACCTAAAATTTCCTTTTAAAAAAATGCATAGTTATGTCAATTATTAAGCATGCCTCAAAGTCCAGCAAGAATTCCTATAGAAATGCCATCAACACTATATATGTGATGTGTATGTAGAAAATTAATCCTAGTTTAGAAGTAGTTGCTTAAAAGTGAGACTTTTTGTATGCCTCCTTCATATGGCTTAATGTGTTTCAATAGAGCACTCTGGCTGTGACTCTGGGCAGCAGGAACCTATGAAAAATGATAAATACTGCATAACTAAGGCTCATCATGCAGAGACAGAGTTTGATGAAACTGTGAGACAACAGGAAATTTTCCAAGCTTTAAGCTTCCAATTGACTAGTCTAGTGTTTTTTAGATGATGAAAAGAAAAAGACTTCCATCCACAATTTGCCTGCATGCCAATAGCAGAATCTGAATGTAAAAGGGCTGGCTTTAAGAAAGAGCAAGAAGTGCAGCTCTCCAGGCCAGCCAGGAAACATCAGAAGTAATTCCAACGGGATGGCAGCATCTCCAGAAACTCATACACAGAGCAGTAGAGAAGACACTTGGGAAAGACAGGCCACTCAAAGGTTTTTGTAGCAATGCTGCTATAAGACAGATCAGATGGTGTGCTCCTCCCTCCACGAAGGGGTTTCCTGTGGGAAGCGGACTCACTGGGAACCAGCTGAAGCAAATCGTTGATGCAGGTGGTGTCTGTGCAAGCCTCACCCCAGAGGAAGGGTGTGGTGTGAGCTGGGAACAGCACTGCCTGCTTGGCTCCTGCTACAGAGGCCCAGCAGAGCACAAGAGTGAACTGCAGCTCCACAGTCCCGACCTGCGAGAAGGCAGCTCAAGCACAGGCCGACCCGATGCTCTGTGTGTGGCAGGTCCATTACAGAAGATAAGCAATCAGCCTAGTAAACACAGAGGCTTACTAATTTCTTGTGTGTTTGTTGTATTAAAGCATGTAAGGTTTTTTCTAATTAAACAGCATTCTGCTTTATGAAAGCGAGCTGGCCAGTGGTTAACTGGTGTATCCTGCAAGAGGCAGGAAAGGTGGGAGTACTGCTCTTGTAGGAATAGAGGACTGCAAGGATCCTGCAGCCTGGCAGCCTGTGTATCCTGCCTGGAGACATGAAGAGCAGGGGGGCTGCCCATGAGAGGGACATGGGCTCTGCTGGGCAGTGCAGCTGGTCACAGGGAGGAGATGCCACGGGAATGAAGGGCTCCCTTTGGAGCCAAGCTGCACTGCCATCCCCATGCTCCTCTCTCTGGAGGTGACCATTGCATTAACCTATGCACCCCATGGCCACTCAGGTGAGAGCCATGTCACTGCTTCGAGGGAGCTGCTCCACAGGGCTGCGGAGGGCAGGACCGTGGGCAGGACGTCGGGCTGTGACTTCGGCAAATCCGTGGCTTTGGCGGAAATTTTCAGAATTGTCCCTAAGAAATCAGGAAATGGAGGAGTGGCCGTGGTTCCTCAGGTACTTCCTGAAATATTCTGACTTTTCCCAGTTCCAGTAATTTCTCACTTGTTCTTAATCTTTGCTCTGCCTTCTGCAAATAGGACTGTTTTAACCCTGATTAGTTCTGCTATCCCATTTGTGAAGCAGCACCAGCAACAGTTGTGCCTGAGCAGATGAGTATGTTCTGGGAGTGGGAACTGGGGCTGGGGAGGAAAGAGAGCTCCAGGAACTACTTAAGTTACCAAAAGAAACATCCATGGAACAGCGGTCTCTGGTAAATAAGAAATTTCACTAGTTATACAAAGAACTTGTAGGCCTGAAGAGTTTCTTCCCACTGAGTAGCCAAGGATTAGTAAAAGACAGAAGAGTCCTCCAAAGAAAGGTCACAAGAATACATTTTTAAAGAAGTATTTCAGAAGATAAAAATACAGATAACTGTATGAAATGTCCTTGCAATATTTTTCCAGCTTTCTCTTGTTTTTTTCATTAAGAGGCAGCACTGGCTTTTTTTGGTGTTTATTTTGTCACATGTTCTAGATCACAGCAACTCTCCCATCCCTCCAAAACTAGTAGCCCCCTCAAATGAACTTCATTTCACTCCCCTGCTGATTTTGGGACTATCGCTGGCTACTTACTCTTGCAACATAACTTGCTGGGGAGACAAGGAGGTCATCAAGGGAGGTGATACTTGTTCAGGGTAGAAGTCAGTCTTGGATGGTTCACTTCCCGGTTCCACTTTAATCGCTTTCTTCAGTGCAGGTTTTTCATATGACTCAATGACAGGCACTATTGCGGGGATGGTAAGAGAGGGAAGACAAGAGATGAAAAATACTGTGTTGTATAAATAAAGAACATGGGTAAAAATCTAGAGTTAAAGCCAAAAGATCCCCCAGCCATTTTATATTTAGCACCACAGTTTATCTTAAAGCACAAAACCTCCCAATGTTCAGTCTATCTTCTGATGAACTAGAATTCCTATCATTTTCATCAGTTCAAATCTCTGAAGGGCTCCTTAGATAAACAGCTTTATGTGGGTACAAACCAGAATAAAACCTGCTAAGTCTGGGGAAACAGAGTCACATAGCAAGATATATGCATGCATATTTTAAAAGGACTACGGAACCAGGCTTCCATTTCTAAATATGTGAAGAAGCACCCTGAGGGGTGCCCGAATGCAGCTGTGTGTGTGTGAGGAAGCCCCCGCGGCACCCACCTGGCACGCTGGTGGGGCTCTCCATGTCCTCGGGCAGCACGGTGGACACCACGATGGGCTGCTGCAGGTGGGGCGCGTACATGAAGGGCACGGGCTGCACCACGACGGGCTGGATGACCGGGAGCAGCCCGGGGCTGCGCAGGCCGTGGCGCGACAGCGCGGCCGCCATGACGGGCGGGATGGTGATGGGCATGGAGAGCGGCTGCACGCCCGGCGGCGACGGCGCGAACTTGCGGAGGGGCGAGCTGGGCGTGGAGAGCGCCAGCGCGGGCGACGCTCTCCTGGGCACCGGCTGGAACTTGAGCGGGGAAGGCGAGCTCGCCGTGGAGGGCGGCGAGCCCCGCTTGTTCACCGTGAGGTCCACGGGCTCCACCTGCACCCCGTTGGAGAGGCCTTCGGCGCTCGAGTAGAACTTGCTGTGCAGCATGCCCGGCGTGGAGTAAATGACGCTGTATTTGTTTGGCTTTATTTGGTCCAGGTAGCTGGACGGGTATGACTGTGAGAGGGAGTGGAAACAGAGGGAGAAAGTCATCAACACAGCACACACGCAGTTAGTAAAACTGAGGTAGGAATAAAAGGTTTCAATAATGCATTTTAGTCTACCTTTAAAACAAAAGCACGTTAAATAAAAGACAATATTTATCATAAAGTTTTTCAAGTACCAACTGTAATAAAAGTACCAACTGAAATAAAGCCAGACACCAATAAACTGGACCTGGAACTGCAGGTAGTGAATCCCACTCAGCTGAACAGGTAATTAATTGATCAAGTGATCAGGTGCTGACGTAATTGTAAAATAAACTTCACGAACTAGATAAACAATAGGTGAGGAAAAAGAAGAGTACAACAGTTAAATGTTAAATATCTTTTTTCTTGGAGAAAGGTAATAAAAGGTAACTATGGACAGCCTGGCTTTGAAAAACTGAATAGCCTGGTAGAGAGAAGCAAAATTTGGCATACTGGACAAATATTACTGTCCATTAGTGGTGGCTAGCAGTTCTCATTAGAAGATCATTCAAAGCCCAAAGCTAATCTTAGCATAAACGATGATCTCCTCATTTCAGCAAAATTAATTTCTGAAAACCAAGAAATATTACCATACATTGCAGGGTGCATTATTAAACCACTATCCAAATCAACTTTGGATTTAAAAGAGATTTTAAATACCTTACTAACAGATAACTTACTGCAGAAGGTGCTATGCTGATCTAACACAGTAGAAGGATGTGGTGTACACAACCGTGTTTTTAGCCCTTAGATCTTGTAAATTTTATGAAATAAACCACTATCTTTGTATGGCGAGTAAGTAAAGCCTCATATTAAGGCTAAACCTTTTCCTGTCTACAGTCAAAGGCATCTTAATTCCTTATCACCAAACAGACCCAAGAAAATGGGATAAAAAAAAATCTTCAAGATTTAGTTTCAGAGAGGCAAAGGTTGGATAGGTTATATAGGTTATATATAGGTTATATAATCACTTCCATTATATTTCTAAATGCAAAATTGGCATTTAGAAGAGAACTATGTGGATAGTAATAAAGCTTTTCTTAAAATTATTTCTTCGAATATTATTACTTTAAAAACACTGAAATTTTATTTAATTAATCTTCTTTTGACTGTTGTTGCAAATTCAATCAGTAAAAAAATCCACTTTGCTGGCAATTGGTTATTCAGAATTCTACTAGAAGGCCATTATTGCAAACAGTCCTGCAGAGTGAGATGTGAGACAAGTTGTATGAACTCTCCAGCATTAATGAGCCAAGCGATAATGAGAATTATTAGCAATTGAAGAGATCAAAGCTCCTGGATATTGATACAGCTTAATATTTAACATTTAATATTTAACAGTATCTAATAGCTACTGAACCTGAGCTAAGTTAGGGGTGTAAGCAGCAATTCAAACACCGAATGCATGAGAGATACTGAGCAGCTCTGTCAGAAGTGCCGTTACTGGCCTGGGGTACAAAGTCTATGAGCTTCAGCACACCGTGCAGGCCGCCCACAGTGAGGGAGCGTTGGGGTATTTGCAGTTCTGCAGGTTTGTCAGGGATGGTCACAAGGTCACTATATACAAACATTTCTTTCATGTGGTGAAGCATGTCCTAGTGTAGGTGAATGTGCACTTTTCATCCAATGGAAGTGCTCTTACATTCAAGTAAGTTATCTGAAAATAACAAACTGATGCTCTCTAAATAGTTTTTAGGGTATCACAGCCCACATTGAATTCATGCACAGTCAGGGCATTACAAATCTTGCACTTTTTAACAAGTTTGGTCCTCTGAAAACTACCTTTAGAAAGAACTAAAAACACTAGAGCAGGAAAGACTGTGAAATCTGAATCTCTGGGATCATTTTCAGTAAACTCGGTCTGCTGAAGGCAGAAACATCTGCAAGCTGCACCCTTATTATTAAAAGTTACCCTCTTTCAAATCTTCCATTAACATTAAACTTGTGTTAGATACTTATCAACCTATTAAAATGTTGTGTAATGGACAAAAAATAAGTAAAAGAGATTTAGACAAGCAAGAAATTCTTTTCAAGAATTAAGAACAAAACAATTATGTTTATAAAATGTGAGTATCTTAAGGACCTGGTATTACTCCATATGCCTTGCATTATTTTGCATAAAAGGTTTCCATTGCAGCTAAGTTGGCACAAATTTAACACACGTCAGCTGTTTTTTATTGTAGTTTGCAAAAGCTGAATCTTTTTTTTAAGCTTTTTTTTCCTTCTGAGATTTTAACTGTCATGTTTCTGTTTGAACAGCAGATAGCAAGTCATGATATAAAAATGGCACCACAAATTATTTTCTTTACAGGAATGAATAGGAAAAAACTATAAATCTGAACTGGCAGGAAAACCACCTCCTTCTGCCTCTTGCATTTCTGGGAACAGAGAGGGAAAAGAAAAAGGAATTTCTGGAATTGAGTTGTGCATGTAATTATAAATTTTTGATTTTTTTTTTTGTATTGGGCACAAAAATGGTGAAAAGGATTTGAAGGATTCTAAACAAATGGCAAGGAGACTGCCTGCTGCCCGCGAGGGGACAGATGCAGCAAGCTGCCTGCTGGGTGGAGCGCCCTTTGGCTTCCCTGTCACTGAAGGGTGGCTGAAACCCTCTCTTAGTTGGGAATAAGCCACCTGCAGGTGCATCTCAGCAACCCTCTGATTAAGCACCTTGTGTCTTTTGGTGTCTCAAAGTGTCACTGTCCATCTCCCCGGGTGAGAGCAGTCGCCGTTCGGTTCACAGGCAGCCCCCGTTGGCAACACTACGAAGTGTCTGACAGCAGCAATACTAACGGACTAATAAGCTAATATTTAGTGCTGAGTAGAAGCATTCAGGTGAAACGATGTAAAACTAGCTATTGTTGCTGTGCTTGCTCGAAATATTTAAGCTGACACATTTCCCTTGAACATCTACTGTGGGAATTTGCATTGTATAGAGTTTGGTCTAGCTTGGGTTAAAAAAAATCAAATTCCCACTCTCCTGTAAATTCTCCTTTGATAAAAAATCCCTGTGCAGACCAATATGTGACAGCAGTAAAGCGTTAGAAGGCTGCAGGATTGTATTTCAGTGTATGTTCCCGTAGAGTCTCCAACTGGGCCTTACCAAGCAATTCATTTCCTTTTCCCCTACTGTTTGTCTAGAATAAAACCTCCAGCACAAAGCTACTGGAAAACAAATTCAAGCGACTTCTTTTATTTTTGAGGCATCTTTGGGAAACATCCAGGTGTTTCACACAATTAAATCCATAGTTTGGGAAGGAGAAGGAACCACCACGCTTTTCCTCTTGACAGTCTGTCAAGAATAAAGACTGGCCACATATGTGAAAAACAAGTCTTTCACTAACCAGAAGACTGCTGCTTCCATGAGGTGACACCACAAAGCACTGAGGAAGCACCAATCTGATTAAATTTTGATTTAATTAGCTAAATTCTGTTAGAGCTACCGCAGTGAAACACCTTTCTTGTTTGTTTTACAGGCTAGCAAATTTTGAAAATTCTTCAAGACTTTCATGAACTATCAAACCCAAAGCATTTGACTTTAAAAGTCAAACTGCTGTCTTACAAAAGCAGACGATGATCCCGTTTACCTACTTAATGCAAATGGTCAAATCAGCATCATACTAGAGAATGAGTAGCATTTAACTCATGGAGTAAACAGATGAACAAGTCATAGAATCATAGAATGCTTAAGGTTGGAAGGGACCTCCAGAAGTCATCTAGTCCAACCCCTCTGCACACACAGGGTCACCTAGAGCATCATTCTCATCATGTGAAATTCATACTCCCGTTGTGCTGCTGACTCAGCCTCTCAGGTAGCACACACCACATTGCCTTAAAAAAGGGGTGAAGAAGCACACAGTTTTGGGGATTGACTGAAGGGAAGAAAAAACCCTTCAATTCATAAAAAAAGATAACAGCACATAAAAAACCAACTTGTGTCATGGAATGGTCACTGCCTCTCATCCCAATATTTAAAATGCTCACAGCAAAACCTTAGGTAGGACTGAGATGACTATTTCTTTAAGAACTATCATAAAATGTGCTTGATAGTTCAATTTGATAAATGGTATGAGCTGTTGGGAGAGTGATGAAATACACTGGGTGCAAGCTTCAGTCATCTGAGCAGTGTACTTAATCCTTTCAGCCACACGCCCTGAAATGCAGTGGTGTCAAAGCTGTAATTTGTTTGCGTCTCCCACCCCAACCAGTGGGATTTTTTTCAGGAGAAGTTTTGTACCTACAATCTACGTTCATATAGTTTATTACTGAAACAAGTCAAATAACTAACCATTCCTAAGAAGCTTTGTTTTGTTCAGTCTCTACTGATGCTCTCAAAATGACAGATCCAATACAAATAAATCCTGATTTTAAAAGGCTTGGAGTTATGTCAGTCCACAGCGCTCCTCAGCACCACCAAAAAGAAGTCACACTGATGACTCCTCAAGAGAAGGTCATGAAAACTAACAGCCTGGGTGACTGTTACCCTTGGCCACGTTCTCCCCATCCTGAGACCCGCTGCCTCCCTCTGAAGGTGTTAGCAGAACAGCTTCAGCTGAGGGTTCCTGGCAGCCAGGCTCCAAGAAACCACCCACCTTCCTGAGAGGTACAAGGAGGCCAGGGCCTCAAGGGCTTGGGGCGAAACAGCCAGTGCAAGAGTTGAGTAAAAGGCTCTGCATAGTCTCTAGTGGCTGGTCAGAGGGCTCCGATATCCCCAGGATATCTCCACGGGTCCAACGCATGGAAGGTGCTACACATCCATACATATCCTCTGGCATGTATAACTTGTCCTTCATCCTCCCCCCTGGAGCAGGGACTGTTGGTGCCTTCCCTGGCCGTCCTGCAGGACTGATTCTGGCCCTTTTGCAGGAGCATGTGGCTCTCTGGAGCTGGGTCCTGGCCTTGCATGCACCATCCCAAGCCATGGCAGAGCCTTCGTTGGGAGCTGACGGCGGATGCCCACAAAGGAACAGCGTCACAGTGTCTCTGTAGCCATTTTCTGTCATTAGTGTAATGACAGCTCCTTTACTGGGGATGTGGCCTATTTTCTGCCTTTGACAAAAGCAATTAGATATTCTTAAATAATTTCAGATAATCACTGTTTACCTTAATAAGAATGTGCAACAATTGTGATTGATAGGACAAGCAGAGTGACCAATGCTCATGGACCTTCCTGACTGATACAGCGTCAACACACCTAGGTCCTCAGCATTAGGGTTGCTATTTTTCTATCACTGCTCAGAAGTAAAGACACCCCATTAGAATCAAATTGTAATTTACGATTTATATAAATTTTAGCCATGTTCATGTGCTCTTAACAGCACCAGAGAAATGCGAGTGTTTACAGACACATTTAAATTGATGGCAATTATTTTACATTTTAAATAAACAAGAAGCAAACCTTCCACTGAAAGATGAGTTCAGAGCATGAGTGTAATGCACTCTAATCTATGCAGAGTGGCTCCACAATATTAATGGCTCAGCCTTTCTACAGGTGTGGTTTCACATTACCTGTAATCTGATCTAATTGCAGGCTGTCCCGAGAGGGGAGGTCCTGTTCCCTCTCCCTTCCCCCTGCCATTGCTCTAGGTTGAGGAGCTGCAGAACAAGTCAGGTCAGCTTCCTGATCAGACAAAAATAGCATTATCTTTCTTTTTTTTTTTTTTTTTGGTAGGTTACCTGTGCTGACCACTCAGAGAGCTGATGCAAACGACCCAGGTCATTCTCCCTGCAAACCACAGCTGGACCTCAGGCACTGGGGATGGTGCGAGCACAAAGCTGGGTGGCAGGGAGGAGAACCAGAATCTCCCCTGTCTGGGAAGCGAAGCACAGGTGGGACAACTGTCCCCTCAGGCAGTGCTTCCCTGGCAGCAGAGACCAACGCAGCTCTCGCTCTTGCTTATCAGACTCTTTGCTGAGCTGATCCTGAGCACCATCTTCATAAAAATTAACACAATTTAAAAAACTACATTTTTTCCTCTCCTTTTCTCCCTCCCTCTCTTCTTCCTCCACTGCCCTGCTTCTCTCAGGGTAAGGCAACTCAGCTCACCAGGAGAAGGCCATTACTTGCCTTGTCAGTCACAAGGGTGAGGAGTGCCTGGCTGCTCTCTCCGGGTGCTGGGGATGGGAGCAGGAGCAGAGGGATGGGGCATATCCTCTAGGGACAATGAATTCACAAACTACTAGAAACTGCTTCCTACAGTGTGACTCTGATTGCCCTAAAAGCAACATGTAGCTTCATGGCAGTTCCCCAAGTAGCTCAATGCCTACAGAAATCTTGGCACAAGCTTAAAGGTGGAAAATTATAGCACAATCACAATGGTTAAAATATCTTATAAGACTCACCACTGAAACAGGTTCCATGGCCTCTTGCTTGATAGGGACGGGGTCAAACATTAGCATCTTTTTTATTCAGCTGTCCTGGTGCCTCTGATGTCCTGGTCTACAATGGAAGGGCAATGTTTTAGAAAAGTGTTGCAAAGTCTAGAATCCACGTTTTGAATTGGAGAAAACTTACTATTTTGTTAGACTGAGTATTTAATATACCTTTTAAATTATTTGACAGCATTTCATTTAAGATATTTCAGTTGTCACTGCTTTACTCTTTCCCAGACACCACTGAAGTCAAGGGACATCTGTTGTCTTTAACAGAGGTTAATTTGACTTTTTGCTGTGCACACCAAGGCTGCAGTATTCTCAACTCACTTGCTGTCAGTGTGGAAAGCACCATATCACGGTTCAGACCATGTACTTTTCCTCAACACTCCAACTTCAGAACAACTTGTTTAGCTGACAGTGGAGTGAACTGGTTCTGGAGAGCCTGCCCTCTCCTCGGGGTCTGGGCAGAAAAGCTGAAGCTACTGAAGCTACAGGGGCACTGAAATCAGTGCAAAAGGAGGGTGATTAAAAACGAGGACTAAAAATGAGGAAGGGATTTACTGACAACGCAACAGCCCCTTGCGCTGAGCAAACCCAACACTTTAAAACAACCTGGAGGTTATTCCATGCAGCCTCAGACATTTCTTCCTGTCACTTTCTGCTTGTCCAACTGCAGCTTATTCCGGACTGCCTGAGATAAAAGCATTTAGTGTAAAGCATATTAGAGCTTAACTATCATATTGCACACCTGCCATGGTCAACTTGTAAAGAAACATGGAGGAGAAGGAAGAGGAGGAGACAGTTCTTCGGGGGTAGAGCAGAAGGAGTCCAGGGGGAAGCTTGAGGGCTGTCTCAGTGACATCTGATCAAGTCTCTTAAAAACTCCCTGGAATTACACACGTTAGGAGCAAGTTCTGCTCTTGCACCCTGCCCTGCAAAGCACTGCCTGGACACAGGCAGGGTGCGAGGACGTCGCACAAACCAGCAGCCACCAGCAGGTGGCACTGGGAAGAAACCAATGCCAGCACCCTGCCCACCGACAGGCCCACCCCAGGGAGCCGCTGCAGCAACACCATGCTGCCAACAACTCTTACTCCTATTTTTTTTTTCAATTTTCAATTCTTATAGCCAGAAAATTCTCCCAGAGATTTAAATTAAATGTCTCAGATGTACCTGCTTCAAATCAGAACATTTCTAATAAGCCTTCACTAATGAACAGTCTTGCAACATTTAATTGCCGTGTGTGTTTACAGGTAAGGAATTGGTGAGAACTTCCAAAGAACGATGGCATGAGTTGCTCTAAGTGAATTGTGGGTTTACATGTGTGAACAAACCCTGATGACTTACAGAAAAATATTACAACAGTATATTATTTGAATACTGGAAATAAACGTGATTAATTTCTAAAAGGTAAATGAAAGTATCTTCACAACTCCTCTCACAAAAGTTAAAGGCTTGATAAAACCAAACTGCAAAAATAAATTGAAACAAAAAGAGTAGCTTGATGAGCTTTCCATTTTATATTTAAAATATGGTTTTATTAAGTATTTTAATTATGCTATAAGCTGTTGAGAATGAACCATATTATTTTTCTTTGAATCTAGTTATCCAGTTTTTAACATTCCTGTTTTCATGATGTGTATTTTAGATATTAAAATGTTTACAGTAAAATGCAACCTCTTAGATCTCATATATAAGAATATGTAACTACTTGCTTTCAGGTTTCCAGAAACTTTCCATTTTTAGTTTAAATGTTCATATATAAAGTGGTACACCAACTCTTTTAACCAGTTAAAAGGAAGAAAGAAAGTAGTTCTAAGTAAGCCATCACGCTCCCAGGTTTTTCTTTATGTCACTTTGTGGTTTTACAATTGGAATTTCTTCAGTTCAAGAGTTATTTCTTTTCTCCTTATTCTTCAAGAAAGTGTGTGAAAGACACTTGATAGGCATTTCACATGTCACGTTACACATTTGAGCGTTTCCTGAGAGGCCTCTAAATTACTGTGCAGGAGTTGGGCTGACATTGAAAATAGAAAGTACACTGCACTGAGCAAAAGTGAAAGAACAGGTCTCAATCTTTGTCAGGGGCAGTCATCTAAGAACAGCAGAGGAAAATGTTACTTTTATTGCTGTTCCACGGTACAGAAATTGAGCATTCCTTTAACATGCATTACTCTTCAGAGGTAGGTTTCCTTCCCAGCCTGACAGTAAGTGGAAACAGATTTTCAAGAAAAGGAAAACAGTTAATATATGCGCTTGGTTCTGTAGGTCCAGACTGGAGGGTCAGATCCTTACCCTCTGGAATCTGGTATAATTGCTACATCTGCCACAGTGTAAGCCAGCTTTGGGTCGGACATTTAAAATTTAGCTCAGGATGAGACTTCCCCAAGACTGCAAAAAAACTCACGAAACAGCCTTCTTTGTATTTAAAAAGAAGCCTTTGCAAACCCATCGCTAGGCCCTGCTGACTAGCAAGTAAATGCAAGCACCCATGTGCACGCACACACACACACAAAGCTTCCAATTAAAAAAAAATAACACAAAAAGGCTGCTAATCCCCAAACTCCCAATCTCTCTCTGCTACATGTTTGAGAAGGGGGCAATAGGGAAAGTAAACAGTCTTATCTGTTTCTATTACAGAGGAATGAAAAACAGTTGGGTTCTACTGTACACAGTGATTTCATAATGTACTTGTTTGAAAGCCCATAAATTGTTTAGTAAATACAATTAATTACTGGAAAATCGAAGCACCAACTCTCATTCCTGAAGTGCCCCAAAGAAAGAAGTGGGAAGACAACAATACATTTATATTAAGTGTCCTAAAAAATAGAGCCTTTGTCTTTCATATATTGTATAAACTGTTTTACATTAAAAGGTTTTTTTAATGTGGGTTAAAAAGATTTAAAATGCACGTAATCTGAAACTAAATAATTAACTGCAATCCAGTAGGCAAACATTCCCCCATCTGTTTTTTTTTGCTCCCTTCTCTCTCCTCTGCTAACAAGCCACCCAGTTTTACTTTCTTGCCTCCTCCCATCCACTCCACCCTGTGGATCTCTGCCAAGGCAGTCCAACTTGTCCAAACAGGACATGGCTTTTGATAAGGTTTTGCTCACACCCTGTACTTCAGAAAGACAAATGAAGCAATTGGGTTTTGTATGCAAATAAGGACAGGTGCAAGGTAAAGTCCAGGCAAAGTCCCTCTGCATTTTCAGAGCTGAAGTCCACTGAAAACAGCCAGTTAGAAAAATATAAACTCTGCCCCTTAATAATCAAAGGAACTATTTCTTTAAAGATGGAATATGCAGCAAATTATCCCTTCCAAAAGGAATGTTTATCACCAGAATTGTTCATTTTCCTGTCCAGATAGGAGATTTCATGATATTAATTCCCTGGTACGGTGTGATAGATGCAAGTAATTGAAAGCTTAAAGGTACAATAAGGTTTTGCACAGCCTGTCTACTGTGGCTGAAATGAGCTGAACAAGTAAAGAAGGGTCCCACACGACACAAGGGTAGTGCGGAACAGCTGCAGAAGAGCAACCGCAGTGCAGCTCCTGCAGGCTGCTCGGGGCACCTACCTTCAAGGTCCACCAGCTCTGAAGACCTGTTATGAAAGGAAAGGGTGGGGTGGAGGACCAGTCTTGACTAACTGTGAATCCTCCCTCTAGCGCAGAGCTCTCACCAACCCCCTGGCAGAGCAGTGGGAGACCTGACACCGCCGGCAGCGGACAGGGTGGGTGGTGACGGTAACTTCTGCCCCTCTCCTGCCCAAAGCCACGCATGGAGCTTGTTTTCTCCATCCCTGTGCCTGGCAAAGTACAAGGAATGCTGCCCAATGGTACAGGGAGCTTGGCAGCTTCCAAGCAGTGCTGCTGCTGTTAGTATCATTACAAAATAACGTAATGACGTCTGCTAAATGAGAGTTGCATGAGCACCCCCCCCCCAAAGACGCTGCAGATCTATCCAGCGGCCAACTCAAGCAATGGTTTGGTCTGAGCCCTTTGAAACTTACTCTGCTGTTCTGAAACTATTACTTCTTCTGGGAGCCTCAAGCCAAACTTCCCCCTGATGTTAAGGAGAAGTGATATTTTGATATTATATCAGAAGGTTCCACTGATGAAATCCAAAGGGCAGGGAGGCTTTGTGGACCTGGCTGAGGAATCTTGTTCAGTGCAATCTCAAAAGACAGATGTAGAAAAATGATGAGTTTCTGAGAAGAGGACTCCCAGGAAAGGGTCAAAGACATGTTTGCCAGAGCTGACAACAGGATTTGTTTGCACAGTACCAGTTGCTCATCAAGACTTGAGTCAGCAAAAAAAGCTCCATGGGCTTTAATGGGAAGTAAGCAAGTGCTTAACTGCATTGGGCCTCAAAATAGCAGCAGGCAAAGAAACCCTCAAGTTCAGCACAGCAGTTGGATTCAGTCAAAGCAAGCAAGAGTAGAGGAAGGAACAAAGGCCTGGGCACAGTGCAGGGTGAATGAAACACATCAGCCTCCCAAAAACACTAGTGGGAAAACTGTGAACAACTAGCACAGCAAGAAAGAGTTTTCCTGTGCAGCAGCCTTCTCCGATCATTTATTCCCTGCATTCTGCATTTCCACTGGGAAATGGGCGTAACCATTGAAAATGTTAGGACATGGAGTTAAAAAAATAAAAGTGATACCAATACAAGCTAAAAGCTTTGCTTTTTAGGTATAAAGAAAAATAATATTGTGATCAACAACAATATTTCATTTAGGTTTCATTGAGTTGTGCCACTTAAAAAAATCTAGAAATTCCAGAGAGAGCAATGTTACATCTTAAAGGAGAGCCTGGACTAGATGAACTCAAGAGGTCTACCTTACATTATAAGAAACTTCAGTTCTTTCAATCAGAATTAATATGTTGTAAACCTTTTTTAGTTAAATGTTCCACTTCTATGTGACATAATCCTTTTATAGTCCTTTCTGCACAGTAAGGAATCTCAACTTATTTATGTTTTTTATTGACCTGAAAATCTTTTACCTTTCTATTTTCAGAGCTGCAAGTAGGCTGAAAAATCTGGTATTTTGCACAATTGTGCATCCTAACGTTGCTGACGTCACTTTGTTTGACCTATAACTATTCTGACATAATCATTTATCAGCTGCTCAGAAGACTAATCAGTATTCAACGAAGTTTATGACAACACTTTCGCAGACTCGCTTAAGCTACATGCCTGAAAATGGATGTCTCGTAGGCAAAAGTTCTAGGCAAGAAGTCTGTACGGTGCTCCTAAAACATGCCACTTCCACCAAGGAAACATGGACCCCATGTAAGCCCTGTTCAATCCTCAGCTCTACATTTAGAGAACATGAAGAGAAGAAGGAAAAGCTTGTGAGGCACCTCCATTTGACGGTATTCTCCCTTATCGGGGCCGGCTGCTGTCTGGTTTCCTGTCTCAAGCTATTGCTTAAAAGGAGAAACTAGTCTTGAAAGGAGAAAAGATCAGATTTTGAAAACAAGTAAAGTATATGGAATGATATGACAATCTTCCCCTTACAAACTGGACTCTGCTTTGTGTGGTTGTGTGTGGGGGGTTGTTTTTAAGGGGTTAATTTTGAAGATGATTTTACAGAGAAAATACAAAATCTTATTTATCACCTCTAAAGAGGAATGAGAGCAAATACTGTTTTCTAGAACATAGTATTCTTACAGCATATAGGGTTTATCAATCATATGAGACAGAGATTTAACAGTTTTAACTGGATCAGGTAAAGGAAAAAAAAACAAATCACAAAATAAGAAAGTATACATTTATAAATAATGGTGTGTTTAATTTGAATCGGAATTTGAACATAGGGCAGATGTCTGTGAACTTCTGTGCTTCTAAGGGAATGGGAGAGTATAGTGGGTACAAATGAGACTGCAATCAAAGCAGCTTAGACTCCTTAGCAAATTCTGTCCTGCCTCTGTGTATAAAGTTTGTTGGTAAAAAACTGACTGCACAAGGGGCAGACAACACAGATTTATTTTCCCTCAATTTTTACCTTTTTTAGTATTTAAAAATCTGTTGTAGCTTTATTTTTCTAGTTGGCAGTTGCGTGCCTACACTTTTTTTTTTTTTTTTACCTCAAGAGATCTCCACCATGGCTACCAAAACCACAAAAAAAAAAAAAAAGTCTCAGATCAAGTGAGCACTTAGTAGGGAAGGGTTAAATTGCTTCAGAAACCAGCTCTGCCAAACTTCATATTCTGGATTGGAAGCAACTAGCCTTGGAATGAAAACACAAAGCTTCAGTGCTGACAGAATAAAAGGCCTTTAAAAGATCTCCTGTTCGCAGTGTTAATTAATATTAAAAAGTTGGTTTACAAGCTTGTTATAACTTTAATCTTGGTCTGAGATTTTGTAAGAGTTCTGGTTACTGAAAGTGTGAGCCACAATTCTTTTTACATTTATGATTTACCACGTTTACTGCAATTACACACTAGTTTTAAATATTAAACTACAGTTAAAGGCAATACTTTTTTTTCTGTCATTGGAAAAAAAGTTTAAATATGATGGAAATCCTGTGCAAATTATCATGCCCCAAATTAGAAGATATTTACCCAGATTCTACTGGGTAGCCTCATGAACAGTACTCTAAAACAAACAGAAAAACAATTACGTAAAATAACTGAGAGCAACAAAAACAATGAATGAGTAACTTACCAAAACTGTGTGGCCAAACACCACTTCCTATCTGGATTTCTGAAAAGAAACAAATTGATATAAGGACACGCACATATTCTGCACTTAGTAAAAACTTCTTTTCATATATAATTAAGCATTTGAAAGAGGAAGTTTATAAAATACGTATTTCTGATATGTCTTAAAAACGCAGTATGACTTAGGGCACTTGCAATGAGCACAAACAACCGATATTTGGCATCTGAAAGAGCAGCTGCAAAAATAAAAATGTTGCTTAAATGAATGAAATAAGATGGGAGTAGAATAAAGGAGTGGAAGCATTTCTGTGTGTGCAAAAACCATGCATATTCTAGCACATCAGTGACAGAGAGGAAGAAATGGTCCATCTTGCATTTTCATCCGTGGCCTGACCCAAAGCCCACTGAAGTTAAGGCAACTCTTTCTCCTGGTTTCAATGAGCTTTGGCTAAGGTTCTCAGCTCTTCTTCAGACAGGCTCAAAGCAACAGAAAGAGCTATGTTCTCTTCTTGAATTTTCTCCTGATGTTTATCTATGCCTGCCTGTCACGGGGAAGGGGGGAAAGCAAGGGACAAGGGACAAAAAGCAAGGGGACAAAAAGCAAGGGACAAAAATAGGAGTAAAAAAATAAAAACATAATTTTTATTCCTTCAAATACTCGTTCAAAAATGTAAAAATAATCCATCCATATCTACTTATTCCAAAAAAGAGCGAGGCATCAGTGTCTTATTTTTTTGTGTGAAATTTGGAAGACAGCGAAGCTCCTAACTGAGATGACGAGGAAACTCACGTTCCTTCCAAGGTGCGAGCTCGATGGGGATGGATGTGTGAGGTGCCCAAGGTGGGTGCAGCTGGGATGGGACAGGAGCTGGCACTCTTAGACATGAGCCCACGAAGGTGGCTTCTCCTAGGGCGGCTTCTCCCAGGGCTTGTGCTGCCCTCACGCCGGTGCCGCGCCATGTCCGGCACCGCACGGGGCTATCCCAATCCGGCAGGCGTTTGAGCACACAAACCAGCCGGGCGCTTCTCCAGAGAGCCGAGCACAAGTTTTTGGCAGGGTGAGCGCGGCCCTTTGGCTCGTGCCCTGCTGGAGCAGCGCGGCCGCGCGCTCCAGGTTAACTCCGTCGCGCCGCGGCCGCGCGGGCGAGATGGCGGCCGGGCACGAGGGGCCTGGGCGGGCGTGCGGGGCCTGTGGGGCGGCCCGGGGCCCGGGACCCGGGACAGGAAAGCGCAGCACATATGCCACCAGGAATGCGTGACGCAAGCCCCAGCCTTGAAACAAAGAACAGGAAACAGCTCTGCTGGCCGCGGCGCTGTGCCGGGGGAAAGCGAGCGCCGCGCGAGCGCTGGGCGGCCCTCCCTGACCCCGCGCGGCCGCGGCGGCAGCTGGGGCCGCGCAGCACAACAAGGCTGGGTGGAGGTGTTTGCTCACTGGGTGTGAATAAAAACACCGGCCCCGGCGCGCGCGGGGACCTGCCCTGTTTACAAACAGGCTCCCCTCGCGATGCTGAGGAGCGGGAGAGTTTGAGGCAGCGCTGCCGGTCACGACGAGTAATGGCCCTGGGAGCCACTTGGTTGTTTGGGGATTCACAGGGCGCCAGGAGCTGCAGTGAGATCTTCCCTGCGGCCAACAGGCAGCTCCTGGGCTCACAGTAGGTGCCTTCCTCATAAACCCTGGGTCAGATCAGTGCAAGAGTAACTTGTAAAACAGGACCGTATCTCACTCCTCCTGCGCAGGGGTAAGAGCTGAGGGCGAGCACAACTCAGTGCACCTAGCAGCATTCCTAGCACATCACACACTTTGAGGTTTAGCTTTTCCATATCTCTGTTTTGTACACACCAGTCCTTTATTTGTCTCCGGATTCAATTTACTGTGGACATAATGCTCTTATTCCTGAAGCACCCCAAAGAGCTCAATAAACGAAAGCTTCAAGCTGATGAAATGACGCAGAGGAAAGGTATAACTTGTCCAAATGTCATAAGTTAGAATAACTTCAAAATTTGGTTTCCTTCAAATCTGTGGTTTCAATACTCCTTACATACTTCAAACTGCTTATATATATGCACACACACACATATAGGCACACACAAACACACCAGTCACCATGGGTCAGACATCTAAAACTATCCAACAGGAGCATGTGTTACTGCAAAACAGATGAACTTGTATTGGAGTAACATTAATAACTGCTGTAGAGTTTAGTAACTGAAGTTCAAGAAAGCCCATGAGATGACAACTGGCTGGTATAAAGCCTACAGACGTGTGGGTGGATGTTTTATGCTGGTAGTATCAGTTCCTTACTTTCTTCATATTGAATATCTGGGAATATAAGTCATTTGGAGGTTGTATAACTTCTGTCTTTAGTATCTTAAAACCTTGGACTAATCTCAAACACATTTACATCATCATTTATCTAAAGACTTTTGCAGGTATTACATAGTCTGAATCCTCATAGTACCTAAGGGCTGTCTTATACCTCTATTACTTAGATGCAGCTTCGTCCAGTTCCTCATGAAAGGAAGAGATCATTTAACATCTTATTTCTCTGTGCTCACCCTGTCTCCCTTGTGGTCTGTGTCTGCAACACATTACCTATTACCCACTGCATGTACAAGAATAAAGTATTTGCCTGCTTGGACAAAAGTTTAAAAAGCCTCTCAAGTCACTTCCACATTTCTGTATTTTCATAGTAGATGAAAATATTATATCCTTAAAAATACAAGAGGAAAGTTAGTTTGAAGTAAATCTCTTCTGGGTCAGGCAGGATTATCAAATCCAGATGTGGCTCCTCTCACACAAGCAGTTCCACAGGCAATTACCCAAAGACTTATCTTAGAAGCATTCTATGGAAAAAACGACGAATTAGCGGCCATTTAAACCTTTTGTTTCCAACACAGGTAATGAACAGCTATGGATATCAGTTTAAATAAAGTGAAGCCCTCAGAGCTCTTCCATCAGCCATGCAAATGTGGCTTTTCATAACAATAAAACACCCAGAGCTGAGCCTTGGAGAGACACTTCCCGAATTCCCAAGGGCTGGGAGGTAAATAACACGCAGCAGGCACTGCAGGTACAGCGGCTGCACGAGCAGGGGGCACGCGGGGCAGTTTCAGCTCCTGGGTGCTCAAACCCTTTGGGCTATTCCACAGGAGCCGGACTGCTCCCATCTGCCATAGCCAGGCTCCTGCAAGGCAAGCCTTCCTCTGCCAGGATTGCCCCTGGCTGTGCGAGGCACATCTGACAAAGGTCCAAAGTAAATATTCCTATGCCCGTTTGGGCATTTAAAAAAATAAAAAATAAAAAAGCAAAAAATAAAAAATAAAAAATAAAAAATAAAAAATAAAAAATAAAAAATAAAAAATAAAAAAGCAGCATTCACACACACACAAATATATATATATCGTTCCTGCTTCTAATTCATATTTAAAGGGCAGTGCTCTCCTAGATACAACGCGTTCCAACGCCACCCGTATCAGGGTTAGAGGGAGCCCGAGCTCGACGGCGGGACGTGGACGCGGTTCGCTCGGGCGCCGGCACCGGCGCGGCCGCCGCCGGGGTCACCCTGGACCGGCACCGCCCGGGGGCCGCCCCGACACCCCCCCGCGGCCCCCTCGCGCCGCGGCGCCCCCCGCGGCAGCCACACGCTCCGCCCCGCGCGCGCCCCGACGGCACTCGGGTCTCTTGAAGCGCACGGGAGCCTCTGGCAGCCGCAGCCCGGGACGGCGGCTGGGGGCAGCGCGGCCCCGACGGCGCCGCAGGGCGCCCCCTTCCTCCTCCTCCTCCTCCTCCT